TATATATATAATTCTAATAGGTCTGTTACTGTTATTGTTTGTTATATATTTAGTGGATGGTGTCTGACTCAGTTCCTAATTGTACTACATATCCCAGAATTCCCTTTCCAAAACAACATACGCTATTTCCTGTATGACTGAAACTAAAGTCATCAGATGGCGCGGGGAAGACAAATGGCGACGGAGAGAACTGAGGCGTGAGTATACGTCGGCGGTTGGCAGCACTGAACTGTGACTGGAGCTGAGATGGTAGGAAGTGACGATGGATCAGGAAGTGAACAGGAGGAATGGATGGAAGAAGCTGGTGAGGGAGGTAGGACTGAAATGGAGTGGAACCTAGTAAATAGGAAAAGGAAGAAAGTACATCAACATAATACGGATAGTGATAATGAGGAAAGTAGTCGAAGAATCATGGAAAGGAAGGAAGAACATAAGGTTATCATTAAATTTGAAGTGCCTGGATCAAAGAACCCATTAAAGATAACGGAAGCACTCAAAATGATCAGTTGACTGTAATACAAGGCGTACTTTTATAGGATTGCACAGCAAGGTAAGCGACATGATCGATAGCTCACATCTATTTTGATAAACCGATGCTAATATGACAAGAAATTAACCTTTGATGTTCTGTAAGTTGACTCGATGTAACCGGATAGATTGTTTTTAAGAGAGATTGTGAGTGTATGTTTATTTCGCTTGTTACCGTTTTAGTTAGCATGACAGACATTTGTGATGTGTAATTATGACACCGTGTTTAAAATTTTGAGAAACTCGCGCTGCTTTTCCTGTTATACTGCTGTATTATCATGCTAGGCCATAGCATGCAAATAGCTTTGGCAGAACTCTGAAATAACCACTTCAGAACATAAACACAAACTAACATAATTAGTGTGAGTTATGTGCGTTGTATACTTCAGTTTTCCTTATTATAAAAGGAACTAGGCCCATTTTGTATCAACATATCAGCTGGAGCCAGCAATGAAGTCAAATTTCCCATACACCTTACTAATTATATTGTCAGTAAGGGTAATACAAAGTTATATAAAGTACAGTATGAAGTTAGTTCACTTCCCATGTATAGGTCTTTTTAGGGGAAGCAAATGTCCTTTCTAATGTAGTTAGGTCACTCTTACAGAGTGATATGCAAACAATGCAGTCCACAAGGCATGAGAATTCCTGTGCTCTGGTTTTTGGTAAATGACATCAGTAAGAGGAACTTGTCCCAATTACCAACAGACAGTTACTGTTCTCAAACTTTTGCCTGTTTTTTTTTTTTAATGATTTTTGGAGTACTTCCTCATGATTTTACTGATAACACTCGCTGGACTACATTTTCATGCCTAGTTACTATTTATTCACTTACCACAGCAGTCCTTGCAATTGTGATCAAAATTGAATCATAACAAGCTGATGTTGATTTTAACAGGATTAGTCCTGGCTTAGTTTTGGCTGATAGCTTTGTAATTCTCAAGTGTCATGATGTAGAACAAGTTGGAACATTGTTGTCTTTTCATCATAATTTTACATTATCCTGCTTACTACACAGTTACTTCACGAATAAATAATATATGGACACAAAATATTAATTTGAGTTAAAAAATAGTATTCAAAGTGTGACGGAACATCAGGGTTTCCTGAACCAAGTGGTTATTTAGACAACATTGCAACATTGTTGTCATGGGGAGCATGTTCTTTTCCATCTACATATTTTACAGCTGAATGCCTCGTTTGACCAATCAGAATCGAGTATCCCAAAGAGGCGTGTAATGGAGGGCAACAGTGCCCACCTACTTTTTCAGCAGCCTTGTTTCTGAAGTATTTTCCAATTCATTTTTCCAAATAGGTCTCTGTTAAAGCATTATAAGCCATGAACCAAACCAACCAACTATGAGAAGTACAACATTAC